GGAGCGAGCCTGGCCGGGGAGGGAGGTCTGCGGCCAGCGGCGAGCAGGGCAGCCACGGCGGGCGGTGTGCGGAACCGGCACCGGGGCGCTGAGAGCGGCCAAGAGCTGAGTCGGCACCGGTGCCTACCCTCGAGCGCCCGCCTGCGCCGGGGGCCGAGCCAAGTTGACAGGCACCGGGGCGCGGGAGATGCGGGCTCCAGTGGGGCGCGGGGAAGGCTGCCCAGGCGTGGCTCCGGAGGGCCTTGGAGGACGGGTGGGCTGGCCACAGGTGCAGGTATGGGGGGCGGTGTGCCGGACCGCCCTGCCGCGCAGAGGACAGCCCAGGCGGCAAGTCACGAACGGTGAGCTGTTCCAGCCGAGGGGAGTGGAGGGAGCCGTGGCTGCAGACTGACCATTCATTTAGGCGGCAGTTTTCAAAATCCTGACTGAGCTTTAATTTGAAAGGTATTGGAAAAGCGTTCAAAGTTTTTGACCAGTGACATGAGCAGAGCTGTGCTTTAGATCAATTTAGACTTTTTAGGATGGATTCGTGGTGGAAACTGGGAAGTGGAAGGCAGAGTTACTGGTGAGACCCTCAGGTTTTATCCCTCCTGTGTCTCCCTCATTTCAGTCCATCCCTTATCACAGCGGGTTTTTAGTTCTAGTTCTGACACTAACCAGCTGTGTGACTTTGGATAAGTCACTTTATTTCTCTGGACCTCAGTTTCTTCATCTGTAAAACTAAAGAGTTGGGCTAGGTGATCTTCAGGTTCCTCCAAGGTCTACAATTCTTTGATCCCACGGTTTTGGTGAGCAGGATCTCAGGATCAGACTATTTGTTACGTATTTTTAAATTGTATTCATTTGTAAAAAAAAAAATTCCCTAACGTTTTATTATGGAAAATTTCAAACATACAGAAAAGTTGAAAGAATTGTATGGTGAACATCCAGTTTTATTTATTTTAAAGATAGGTAGTATATTAGCAGGGTTCAAAATTCAAAATATACACAAGAGCATACAGTGAAAATCTTTCTTCCCACTCTTTCCTTCCACCCAGAACCCCTCCCTGAAGACAACTAATTTTGTGTATCCTTAAGATGCTAATATAAGCAAATATGTGTGTACACCACCCCATCCCTTTAAAAAAAAAAACAATACAGATGCTAATATATATTTACAGTTTAGCACCTTGCTTTTTTCATGAAAAATATATACGTATATATCCTGGGAGGATCATAGGCTTATTGCTTGTATTAGAAATGGTAGGTGTTGAAACCTAGGCTCAGAGAAGTTGTACATCTTTCTTTTGTTTTTTTGGCAGCTGACCAGTGTGGGGATCCCAGCCCTTGACGTTGGTGTTACAAGGCTGCACTCTAACCCACCGAGCAACCAGCCAGCCCCTGGGCTCAGAGAATTTGTGACTGCTTGACTTGTTTGAGATCATAGAACTTGTTAGCAGTTCTGGGTCTAGAACCCATTTCTCTTGACTCAGGCCAAAGAACTATTACAGATAAAAGTTTACTTTATCACATAAATGGTCACATAGATTTATTTTTGAAAGAACATTCAGGAATCTGTGTGTGTGTTATTTATATATAAAATTCTTGTTGGGTTAGCAAGGGCATTAATGACAGCACTGTACTGGAGAAGGAATTTAAGGTACATTGGGGAAGAAGAAAAGAAGTCTTTTTTCCTGGATAATGAACATAGAGAATGGGGTGGAGGGTAAGGATTGGTGTCTTAAAACAGGAAGAGAAATTGGGATTCTGAGAGCTAAGTAAGCTTTTTTCCTAGGCTGCTAATGCTGAACCATTTACACCATTAAGAAATTCATTTCTTCTTTTACAAACTCTTATTTGGTGTGCTATTTAGTAGTTTCTAGAAGTAACATAGACCGCATACCCCATTCCCTAGCTGAGATTGTACATTTAGATAAGTCTATTACTGCCTTCCAGGAGACATACCTTAACAATAAAAGTCAATTTGTTTCATTACAGAACTTAAATAAAAAATTACAGGGTTTGACATTTATTTTTGAGAACAGTGGAACAGAAATATAACATTCATAGCTGTATGCCTGTGTGCTTCCCTTTTTTGTGTGTTTTGTGTTGGTCTGGCTTTCTTTCCTGAGTTATTTTGGGAAATTCAGCTAAAACAAACTTTTTATTCTTAAAAAACCAACCTTTTATTATTATTTCATATGTAATTTTAAAACGATAAATTTTTTTTTTTTTTTTTTTGTCTTTTTTCATGTCCGGCAACGGACCGCAACCCTCAGTGTCGCGCCCGTACCGGACCGGGACCGGCAATGGGATCGCAACCCTCGGTGTTGCTCCCACGCCTCGCTCAGCCAGTGGGCAGGAACCGGTCTGTGTGTGGGATCCGAACCCTCAGCGGGAGCGCCGCCGCAAGCGGCGCACTGTAGCAGTGCGCCACCGGGGCGGCCCTAAAACGATAAATTTTTTTTTTTTTTTTTTTTTTTTTTTTTTTTTTTTTTTTT